CCCCCCCTCCCCCCCAGACTTCATCACGCACTTATCATATAAAATAGTATACGCAACACGTGCGGACAGCAGGCGGTATCACTCGGGCGGCTGCGCCGCCCTCGTGAGTAACCGCCTGCTTTCCGCACTAGTTGCGTAATGTACTATTCTTGGCGCATTTTTTTTTACAAATTCAAAATTCATAAATTAACTTCATAAAATGAAGTTTTTCGTGGTTATACGGAGCAAAATCGATCGGGTCCGCTATTTTCTCTAGTGATCTCCGTATTCCGTCATATATCACAAACTATTCAATGGGTCCCAAGGCCCAGTGAAGACTTCTAAATTTTATCGACGTATCCCCATAAACGGACTTCATATTGCCTTATGAGTCAGTATTTGTTACCTTTGGAATTACTTATGATTTTGCAGATTTTCCCATATGCTCCGAAGAATAATATTTGTAAATCTCATAAGAGTGAAATTGAATTCGATTTAGGAGAACAATAATTATGAAATTTCAAGTTTTAGGTTAAATTCAAGATTCAAGATTTTACCCTTTTTTGTGAGCTTCATTCCTGACCCTCGCGACCCTTATTTCTGACGTCTATTTTTTACCCCCATTTTTCACCCTCGTGACCCTTATTTCTGACGTTTATTTTTGAATCTCATTTCTGACCCTCATGACTCTTAGTTTTTACCCTTTTTTGTGAGCTTCATTCCTGACCCTCGTAACCCTTATTTCTGACGTTGATTTTTGACTCCCATTTCGGACCCTCGTGACCCTTATTTCTGACCCTTGATTTTGACCCTTATTTAGGTTACTGATGGGTTCTCTGATGGCATCAGTTATGCTCGATCGGACTTGGACAATTAAATGTCTTTAACACCTTATAAGGGACAAATAAGTTACAAAGGTGTTGAGCTACATAAGTTAGTGATCGGTGGTAAACTCATCGGTTACCCACAATGATCATCCCTACTAGTATTATTGCGTTTGGAACCTACAGGTTACACGTCAGGTACAACCTATGAGTCAGTAACCTGCAATAAACTCATAGGTTCCCAATGCACTTTGGTGGCTCCCGACGAAATTTCTACTCGGGTATAGTTGGGATATGGCTCGAAAGATTCCAAATTCTTGCTTCTCTTCCTATCTATGTGGACGTCCGCATGAAAATGGATCACTTTGTCGATTCTAGTTTCGGGGATCTTTACATTGTTGTCTCAGCAACTTCTACTTACACCAATGTTAAATTGTTTTTTTTTCATCTTTTCCAGCAACGTTATTTGTGGCCCTAAGAAGATCATTTTCGGCTCAAGATGTATGAAATCAGAGTATACAAGAGTCGATAACTGCATATCGACAAAGTGATCCCTTTTCATGAGGACGTTCACCCGTGAAGATAGAGCGATTTAATCTCTTTTAATTTCTTTTACACGGAAAAAACAACTTCGGAAAAATTACGTGATACGTCAGGGTAATCCGGGGGCGAAATGCCTACTTCGAAAGTTTGTACAGAAGTTCGGAAAAGACTGAGGCAAAGGATGAATTTATTGAATTAAAACCTAATTTTTATCAGTGTTGCTACGTTCACCTCGTGCCGAAAAGTGCCTTTTTGCATTTATTCATAAACGAACAAAGTTACAGTTCGCCCGTCGTTGAACGTAATATCATAGACAGAAAATATATTTCGTCACATGTGCTTCACCGCGCCCCTTCAACTTCACACTCGTCGCACGTCAAAACGCGTCACCCTTGTATCGAGATATACTAATCGAAAGAGCAATATTCGTGAGTTATTGCAGAGAAAGTAGGTTTAGACGACCAAATTTTTCGGATTATTTTCCGTGCGTTTGTACGTCAGTCGGTCCGGTAATTTTTCTTGACCCGATGGGAATATAGGGGGAAGGCGCGCAAGATAGCTACAATAGTATATATCGGTACAAGCGCGATGGTTTTTTGACGAGTGTGAAGTTGGCGGCTCGACGCGAAATCGAGGGCTGCCAATCATACGACCTGAAAAATGCAGTCGTANATTTTTTAAAATTCTCATTCGATTTGAAACAATTTCTCTTATAAAAATCTGATTATGCACTATTTTCGTTTATTCGACGTTGCTGACTTGGCTTTCTTTTTCATTTCTTTGTATTTTTCAAAAATTTCTACTTCCCAGTAAGAACCAAACAAAACTTTTTCTTGGCGCAGTTTTTTTTACAAAAACATGTGTTTTTGTTTTTTNCATCAGTTATGCTCGATCGGACTTGGACAATTAAATGTCTTTAACACCTTATAAGGGACAAATAAGTTACAAAGGTGTTGAGCTACATAAGTTAGTGATCGGTGGTAAACTCATCGGTTACCCACAATGATCATCCCTACTAGTATTATTGCGTTTGGAACCTACAGGTTACACGTCAGGTACAACCTATGAGTCAGTAACCTGCAATAAACTCATAGGTTCCCAATGCACTTTGGTGGCTCCCGACGAAATTTCTACTCGGGTATAGTTGGGATATGGCTCGAAAGATTCCAAATTCTTGCTTCTCTTCCTATCTATGTGGACGTCCGCATGAAAATGGATCACTTTGTCGATTCTAGTTTCGGGGATCTTTACATTGTTGTCTCAGCAACTTCTACTTACACCAATGTTAAATTGTTTTTTTTTCATCTTTTCCAGCAACGTTATTTGTGGCCCTAAGAAGATCATTTTCGGCTCAAGATGTATGAAATCAGAGTATACAAGAGTCGATAACTGCATATCGACAAAGTGATCCCTTTTCATGAGGACGTTCACCCGTGAAGATAGAGCGATTTAATCTCTTTTAATTTCTTTTACACGGAAAAAACAACTTCGGAAAAATTACGTGATACGTCAGGGTAATCCGGGGGCGAAATGCCTACTTCGAAAGTTTGTACAGAAGTTCGGAAAAGACTGAGGCAAAGGATGAATTTATTGAATTAAAACCTAATTTTTATCAGTGTTGCTACGTTCACCTCGTGCCGAAAAGTGCCTTTTTGCATTTATTCATAAACGAACAAAGTTACAGTTCGCCCGTCGTTGAACGTAATATCATAGACAGAAAATATATTTCGTCACATGTGCTTCACCGCGCCCCTTCAACTTCACACTCGTCGCACGTCAAAACGCGTCACCCTTGTATCGAGATATACTAATCGAAAGAGCAATATTCGTGAGTTATTGCAGAGAAAGTAGGTTTAGACGACCAAATTTTTCGGATTATTTTCCGTGCGTTTGTACGTCAGTCGGTCCGGTAATTTTTCTTGACCCGATGGGAATATAGGGGGAAGGCGCGCAAGATAGCTACAATAGTATATATCGGTACAAGCGCGATGGTTTTTTGACGAGTGTGAAGTTGGCGGCTCGACGCGAAATCGAGGGCTGCCAATCATACGACCTGAAAAATGCAGTCGTACTCGTGTGTGAACTATATTTTTTGTCAGCGATGTTATATTCAATAACAGCCGTACTGTGTAAGTAATCAAAAATATTAGTCGTTTCCAAGTAAGAAAAAGCTATATTTCGGCATGAGGTGAACGTAGCAGCCGTGGCAAAAATTACGGTTTGGCGTACAATTTCTCCGCCTGGAAAAATTCAAATTTTTACTAATGCTTCCAGAAAAATTGAACAAAAAACAATATTATTTTATGAAACTAACGTTTTAGACGATAACAATTACGAAAAATTGGTAAAGTTGAACAAAATGATTTGTAGTTTCTTCAACGGAAGGTTTTGAATTAATACCGCTTTTTGGAGCGTTTTTGGCTGGGCGAAGTGAAGGAAAGGAAGATTTTACTACGATTGTAAATCTATTTTGGATAACAATTACGTTGTAGATCATAATTTTTTACATTTTTTCCATGGTATTTTCTTTAAATTTCTTTCCTCCATGTATATAGAAGGTCATTTCTTGGGTACAACTTTCATTGGGAATTTTTGTCCATGTTATTGGTCCTTACCATTAATAACGTGAACATTGATACTCGCTCTATCCGCTACTGTTGGTACACAACTGTAATTTCCCGAGTCACTAGGCTTTGCGTAGATAATCTTTAATCTGGAAAACACAAGAAACGCGGCTATAGTAGGATCAAAAATTGACTAACGACGAGAGAAAGAGAGATGTGAAAAGGAGCCTGGAGACGGAATTAATAATAGAGAGGAATTACTACGTGGGATTACTGTGCAGGGCTCTGTAATTCGTTTTCTTTTGTCCTGTACTTTCCTTCCACTCACCATTCTCATTTTTTCACCTCTTTCCTTTCTCTCTGTTGACTTTTTCTAATGCGGTTTTATTCCTCTTTTATTCTACTTCTCTCATTTCCTTCAACATACCTGGACGTCAGGGCATCGCTCCACACTGTTTCCACATTGATCCGTGGTTCAGCGTCCACGTCGTTCTCGTTCTTAGGTGATGTCACTACCGGCTGATTATCACGGTACCACGCCACTGTACCCAAGTCGTGTGGTCCTTGGGACATCAAACACGTCAAAGTCAGCTCACTACCTGTCTTCACATACTTGTCAGGTGGACCTTCTATCCTAGCTTTTGCCTCTGGAAATGGAAAGAAATAAAAGTGAAAACAGCGTCTCGTGAATCAAGCAATAGGTCGCAAATATCAAGCACACAGCTGAATGTTTCAGTTTTACTGTCCCTGTGGAGAGCTTAAGAGTATCGCTCGGAATGATACGTTTTTCCCATTACGTCGCCTATTTCCTTCTTTCTACTAAATATAGTGGCGAAAGTCAGTGAGGGTCAGGAAGAAATGAGACGGAAAATCGGAGAAGCATACATATATCTCCTCCGGTTTTATGTGCCTCAAGGAGAGCTAACACCCTTCCTCTGTACGTCAGTATCATTATCTTTTATAGTACGACGCGGACGTATTTCGTTCTACACTGAAACCTTCTGGCTGTTTGAATGTGTCTATGCTAATCTACCAGACTGTTTGATGGTGACAATTCAGCTCACTTTGCTGGAAGTGAGCGTTATGTTTTTTTTCAGTTTCTTCTTTTTAGCTTAAATCGCGCCCTTAAGAATGGCCTCAACGTTTTCAAGAGTGGGATCATTAGGCTCTTTGGAGAATCACACCCACAGGAGGTAGAAAAGGGAAGAAAGGGGTATAGGAAAATATTTTATATGTGCTATCATGAGGGATAAACAGAATGTTCTAGTCGGGTGAAGTGGTCATGAAATTTTTTTCTAGAGAAACAGAATTTAGGATTCTTTGCACTACACAGAAAGAAAAGGCCAGTTCTAAAAGAACATGTGGCGGAATTTCAGGAAAAATTACAGGGCTGCAATAATAAAAGGGAGATGTGAAGTGTCAGCAAAGTAGAAATTATTTGCAATTTTCCTCTGGGCAGAATTGTCTTTTTTTGTTTCCGGATGGAATCTTTGTAATCGATTTTTCTGCTTTTGTATGGAACCTTTGTAATTGATTTCGAATTTTGTTTGGAAATGACAGAATGTTACGCAACGTCGAGATGTGATATTTTCCTTTTAATATCTGTGTGTGCGTTCGTGCAAATCCTAGAAATTCTTTTATAAATCGGCACAAAAAGACGGAAGTGATAGTATTTCTGTAAGCAGAACGTTTTGTAAAATTTCGTTCTGTCGAAATAGGCAAAATGGACCCCCCCTTGAACATCGTTGAGATGGAAGAAAATGAGTAAGGGTGTATGGAGAAAAAAATGGATTGTGAAAATGGGAAGGTTTAACAAAAATTTTTTTTATTCAAGAAAATATGTCAATTCTAGAATAAAAAGTGCCGCAAATCAATAATTTATATTTTGATTGATTTAGACTCAATACTTTCAAAAATTGATGATGAGAGGATATAAAATTCATACGAGAGAATGAATTGATTATCAAAGGGAGAAACGAAACTCATTTTATTTGAAATTATTTTGAAAAAAGTTCCTTGGAGGATAAACTTTTTTTATCCATGTTTTCAAGGATCATGAAGTCGAAGTTACGAGAACATAAAACATGTCGCAAGAACGTTGCTTGAGATACAATAATATAACATTGATTTCTATCGTCAATTTTAACATGATTACTGTTCGAGAAAAATGCATTTTCATAGTCAATTCGATAGTAATTTCTAAGGGGCGATACACAAATCGTTGAGAGGTAAATACCTACAAAATTTAGATTTTCACTATAATTCAATGGCGTTCTAAATTTTTAATTAGCCGAAAAATGAGAATTTCTCAAATTATTCAAGTTTTCAATCAAAAAATGACTAGCATCAAATAACGCAGAATTTTCGATCAACTAAAATTCAACAAAATATTCATCTTAATTCTCCTCGTTTCTAGTCATTTTCATGACATAATTAAACTGAAATTCACCGTTTCCATTGATTTTTGCTTCCGAATGGAGGAATTGTATTCGTCAAATCCAAAATTTCCAATTAAAACCAATATTCAGGGAAAGGTAAAAAGTTTTAACGTTGGGGCAGTGTTGAATTCAATGAAGCATTGAATTCATTTCAAAATACATCGGCACAGAAATTGCACTCGGAAGCAAATTACTAATTTATTAGCAAAAATATATTGACTATGTTGTGAAGAAAGCAATTCCCCACTTGTTTAATCAAATTCTGCATTTGCAATTACGAAATTCCTCGGAATTTTAGTAAAACTGTCTTCATAAAACTTTCCCAGGAGTGAACATGATATTTCAGCCAGACATTTGTAATAGTGTTATTTAGATCCAATAATACAATTAATTTCATCATCTGAAAAATGATGCATTTTAAAACTTTGAGAACTTTTTTCTCTCCTTATATCATCAGAGAGAGAAAAAACAGAAACTACCCGAGTAGAAATTTAGTCAGGCAGACCTGTTGGCAGAGAAGGCCCTGCTCCGGTATCGATACGGTGTACCTGATTACGGCATGCCGGATCAGGACCTGAAGGGGACCATTGAATGTTCACCTTACCAATAAATTCCAAACTTTAAGCAGGCATGCCTGATCATGCCCCAGTCAGGGCCTTTTGAGGGTACCGTGATAGAGAAAAAATAAGTTACATCAGGCATTTCTGATAGGGGAAATTCCGGGGTCTTTTTCAGCCTGTTTTGATTGAACACGAGTGCTTGTTGAGTATACCGGATTCGGCCAACTCGATCCGGTTGTGATCAGGACCAGGTAAGGTATGTCGGAATCTTCAACTTCGAAAATTCTATAAGTTCAATACGGCGAACCTGATCCGGCAATGATCAGGTCCGGATAAGGCATGCCGTACGGGACTTAGAAAAATTTTCCCCAAACAAAGAGTCGGGGTGGAAATGGTAAACGGGGGGTGGGCCGGAGGGGAGGGGGGATGATGATCAGGAAAATTATACTCATTGATATTATTCTAGATTTAGTTCAATACTACAATTTTATTGGGAGTATTATTGATATACTCAAAACAAACGATCATTTTTAAGAATGATATGGTGGTCGAGTGAATAGGGTACGAGAGTCGCGCGCGCAACGGAACCGATTGGTTGCACTTAAAGCCGAAGCCCTAATCCCCAATTTCCACTTACCCAAGTATTTAACGTAGATTTTCTTGATATTTTCTCTTTTGCATTTGGCTAACCCTATTACCCATCATCAGCATCCCGAATAACAACTCAAACACAGGGCTGAGCCATGCTCACCCAAAGTTTCCATGGACAAAATCCCAATCAAATATGAACTCACCACGCAGCCAGCTGGCTGACACCAGCCAAAACTCGAAGAGAGAATCTGAGTTTCAGCCCACCAAAACCCCACAAAAGCTTCGCAGAAGCTCCAGCATGAAACAGATTAACATCACCAGCTCAGCTATTGACAAAAATTACAAAGATTTAATGAAAGAATTTGACAAACCAAAAATAAACACAAAAATCGCCCCTAACCTCATTAAGGCCAGTTCACGCACTCACCATGAATCCCCCCTCACGCAACTCCCAGATGGCTCACAGCCACCAATCGACAATGATAACCAAGATTCCAAAGACCCCAGCAATGGAGAGCAGTGGAAGCTCCCCAAAAAACCCGTCAAAATAAGAAAAATCATTAACACAGACGACAGTACCGACAACATATTCAATGACAGCAAAAGCTTTGATGGTCTGCCCAACAAGGACGCAATGGAAGAAGAAGATGATGAATACTCAAATACTTTTTTGTCTCCAGAAGATACTGGCCAATCACAGAAAAAAAAATCAGGCCTCCCCCCATCAACGTCTGCAACATGACCATCAAAGAAGTCATAACCCTACTCGACTTTGTTGGCATCGCCAAGGGATCATTCCAGTTCAGACAAGGCAAGAACTCAAACACTATCACGATAACCACATCAGCGATAGATTCCCACAACAAATCCCGAGCTGAACTCATATCAAAGAAACTCCAGTTCTACACGTACCCATCCAAAAGCATGCGACCCAAGTCAATCGTGTTGAAGGGTGTCAAAAGAGACTTCACCGAACAAGACCTTATGAATGAAATTAAAGACATGAATCTCGAGAATGTCAACATTCTTAAAATCTCCAAGATTGTGGTCAACAAGACGAATCCTCAATACCACTTCCTCGTACAAATCTCCCCCAATAGCTACCTCTCTGACCTGACTAAAATCAAGGTTTTAGCCTACCAGAGAGTTAAGTGGGAGCACCTCAGGAAGAAAACAATTTTCCAATGCAAGAATTGCCAGCGTTTTGGCCATGCCAGCTCAAATTGTAACTTGCCTTACAAATGTGTAAATTGTAGTGGAGATCACTCACCTGGATAATGTCCAATTACTCTGGGCTCAGATAAAAACGCCCTCAAGTGCGCAAACTGTGGCTCACAAGGTCACCCAGTTGTCTACAAGGGATGCCTGTACAATGAAAGTGCGGTCAATCGTCTGAAGCAAAACTCAAAAGTGCGACAGCACAAAACAACTGAAAAAATTCGAGAGGTTAGCAGACTGATTGACCCATCTGTATGCGAGTGCCACCCAAGCCCGAGTTCCACAAAGTGCTCCCCAACGCACTGCTACCACCCCTCAGAGCCAATCGCGGAATATTCCCCAACATCACCAAACCCCGACTCAAGAATACTCAATGCCCAACTGGCTAGAAGGATTGAAGAGAGACATCACCTCCATATTCGCAAAATTGACTGAAATCGCCACCCAAGTGACCATTAACACGTCAAGAATCGAACCCATGGCCGACACGGCTAACTTCAACACTATACTCCAATAATGGATACACAAACGAGTAACAGCTCCCATCAAATCCATTCTGCTCGGTAGGAACCCACAAGCATACCAGCCCTCAACATCGCCGCCATCAACGTCAACTCCTTGGTAGCTCATCAACGAAGAAGCCAACTTCTCAATTTCACGTAAGAGCACGACCTTGACGTAGTACTCATCTTAGAAACCAAACTCAGCCAAAAACACAAAACAATTTTTACGAACCACGAGCTAATTCGCACAGATCGCCCAAACTCGAAAAGCGGAGGAGGCACCGCAATACTATTGAAAAAGAATATCGCTCACTCAATCATCAACCACTCTAGCTCCGAGAACAACCGAATAATTGAATATACAACAATAAAATTAAACACCAGCAACAACAAAAATCTTTACATCATCAGCCTATATGCTTCACAGCGGCTGAATGTTCTCCAAGACTTTCTGATCGAGCTAAACCAGCTCGTCTCTTCCCTGAAGCTAGACAACCCTGCCAGCTACTTCCTAATAGTTGGCGAGTTCAACGCCAGACACACATCGTTTGGAGACAGAGCGGACAACACCCGAGGCACCAGCCTGGCAGATTGGATCACAATCAACGAACACAATTACGGCTGTAAGCTCATCCCACCCGTTGAGCCCACTTTTCTACCAGCCCAAACTATCCTGAACCTCTGCATAATAGACTCGAGGCTCAAGATCTCCAACCTCGACAACGATCGACTCCAAACTGCCATATATGATAGTGACTATAAAGCCCTCCTTATGTGCCTAGAACTACGTGACTCCCAAATCGAAACGAAAGAACCTGAAGTGTCTAGGCTGATATACAAATCGACTGACTGGAAAGACTTTACCAAGTACCTAGAAAAACCGACGTCGGTGGCCGAAGCGGCTAGGTGCGAGCCTAGTGTGTGAAAGGTTGTGAGTTCGATTCCCCGTGGAACCGAGTTTTTCAACCAGAGGCTCCGGCGAGCGGGAGGTCGCTAATATAGTGACCGCCTGTACCGGCATGAGTTTTCTGTGGTTTCCCATGCTACTCCTATGTTCTATAGGAGTGCGAATGCGGTGCAGTGTAGAATCCACAGCCGCATGCATAGGGTTGGATAGGGCCGATTAGCCAATCAGAGGGCAGAAAGGGCCGGAATAAAAAAAAAAGTACCTAGAAAAGAGCTATGATACCTACGTCCCCAACAACAGAAACCTCGACGAGTATGAAATCGACAACTTCATAGAGGCTATCAACGAAAACCTCATCAGTGCGATCAACCAAAAGGTCCGTAGGTCAAAAACTACAGGCAACACTCAGAGATACACCAACAAAAAAATTTGTCCAGCTCGAGAAAGGCAAATCCTTGCTTCTCACAACACATAATCGCAGATTAAAAATTGACCCTAGGTCCAAAACTCCAGAAACAAAATCCATCAAGCTGCTCCTAGCACACACGAAGGAACAATTGAACCTGGAACTCAGCAAATCCATCGAAAAACACTGGACCAACGTCTTCAAGATGATCAACTTCAGAGACTCTGAAAAATTTATGCCTACTGTAAACCGGATCTTCCGACCCAAACCAAAGCATGGCCTAGCTGATATCCACGTCCCCGATAACACTAACATCCTCACCAACTCTGGAAACGATTTAACCAGCACTCCAGTAATAAACAACAACTACGTGTTTTCTGACTCAACCAGTAAGCTCAACGCCATTGAAGCCTTTTATGAGTCGATAAACTCGCCTCGTCACCTGAACGAAGGCACCCGGCTGAGGGAAACAATCGATGCCAAAGTCGCCAATTTCAAATTCACCTTTGAGGAAGAGCGTACGCAGAAGACAGCTATCACTACCTTCACCTCCAGCAACAGAGCCTCATGCCCCTCTGAAGACACCCTGGACAGGTATTTCGAATCACCAGTATCAATCGCCATCATCATCAAAAACCTCCCGAACAAAGCATCCAGTGGTATTGACAACATCCCAACAGTTGTCATCAAGCACCTGTATTCGAACGTAATCAACAACTTCACCATACTCGTCAACAATGCACTCAACATAAACTACTTTCCCAAAGTCTGGAAAATGGCCCAGGTAATCCCAATCCTCAAAAAGGACAAACCTAGCAGCGATCCATCCAGCTATCGCCCAATCAACTTAACCCAGAACTTCAGTAGAGTATACGAAGTTGTAATCAATAATTTAATCATTCGACACTGTGACAAAAACACCATTATCCTGGACAACCAGTTTGGCTTCAAGCACAGACACTCCACTACTCACGCCATCTGCTAGTTACTCGCTGACGTGCACAAAGCACTCCACCTCAAATATATGGTCGGAGCCACATTGATCGACCTTGAAAAAGCGTTTGACTCTGTCTAGTTCGACGGACTACTTTTTGTCCTATTAAAAAAGGAATTCCCGAGCAACCTAACCAAACTCATCTGGGAAATGATCAGAAACCGCTCCTTCTGCGTGACTGGCGGCTCTGACTGCTCCTCCAAATACTTCAAGATCGCCTGAGGATTGCAACAGGGAACAGTCAACTCCCCCTGCCTGCTCTCAATATTTACCCGTGGTGCACTCAATGCCTTCGGGCTCAGCAGTACCCCCAACACTCCATTGCCTACGCGGATGACCTGATTATCTACGTCACAGGCAAAAATACGAAAAATATCCAAGCCCCTCTCCAGATACTTGTCAATAAAACAAACAACTGGTACGTAACGTGGAACCTCAGGATGAGCCCACAAAAATGCGAAACCATCCTAATCCGCAGACCAATTCACCTCGTCAACAGTTGCAACAAACCAGGCATAAACTCCTTCAAGATCTCCACCTTCAAACCGGACACCAGAGACATAGTAGACATCCCCACCAAGCAAACCGTGAAATACCTGGGAATCTACATAGACCACCTCGCACGCTGCTCCAAACACATTGATACCCAGCTAAAAAAAGTAACCGATCGTTTCCACTCCCTCAGACGCCTATTTCATAACCAGCACATCAGCCATCGTGCACGGATTATATGTTATCTCCTTCTGATCAGGCCCCTACTCACATACGCCTGCCCTGTTGGGTGGAACTCCTCTGCATCTCAGATGGAAAGGCTAAGAATCCTTGAAAGATCTTGCCTACGAACCTCGCTCCGTATATACCGATCAGCCCACACTGACCATAGACATATGATCAGTAACCAGATCTTATACAATGCAGCCAACATCCCTAGAGTGGACAACTTCATCTTGAGACTCACCCGGAACTACTTCTCCCAGCTCAGAGACTTAAAAAATGAAACAATCAACAAACTCAGCTGAGTGGATCCAGTAGAAGCTAACCTGGCAGCCCAGAGCAGATACCTCCAACCTCAACATTTCACCCATCTGGATAGACTGGGCATTACCCAAGATACGAGCAACGTGCCATCGCTATACCATCTCCCCAGACACCCTGCAAACAGAAAAATTCCACTGGTCATGGACCCCAACCCAAAACCAAATATGCAAGATCGCTGACCGGATTGTTTTCCCCGGAAATTATTTCCCGTGTATGGGTAATTGTTTCTTCTGAAGACAATGCCGTTGCCGTTGCATCAAAGTAATAAGAATGGACTGATTTTGGAGGAGCAGGGGCATTTGTTTTATAAAAGGAGTGACGGTGTTGATAAAATGTTGTGGCGATGCATTTGTTATTTCAAAGGATGTCGTGGTATCTATCATACTACAAATGCTACCGTGGATGGTGAGATATTGTAGTTCATGAGCCGCTGTATTAGTACTATTTGATCACAAGTAACGAAGAAATTAATTCATTTTATATATTTTATCAGGAGCTGTAATTAAGGTGACGAATCACACGTCCCACATGGTTGATTGAAGTATCAATGAAGCAAAAGTGGTTTATAATGAAATTCGTGAGCAAGCTGTGAATTCACACCGAACGACAATATCTGTCATTACGTCGGTTGTCAACAAGGTGTCAGCGCCAGTTGTAAATCGATTGCCACAGGTTGATTCTCTCGCACGCACGGTTCGTAAGATTCGAGGTACTAAGAATTCAGTCCCGAAGGATCCTGAGAAGAACACTAATTTCGCTATTCCTCAAGAATTCCCAACAACTACAATGGATGATTTTTTTCCACTGTATGATTCTGAGACTGAAAAAAATCGTTTATTGATGTTCAGTAACGACAAGAACTTGCAAGAGTTAGAAAAGAGTGAGATCTGGGCTGGTGATGGTAAGTTTTCTGTTGTGCCGCAGGCATTCGCACAACTTTACACCATCCATGGAAATTCTAGTGGCCAATTTCTTCCCCTGGTTTACGTTTTGACTTCTGATCGAACCGAGAAACCTTACAAGAAGGTGTTGAAGAAATTGAAGGAATTCAATGCTAATCTGAAGCCTGGAATCATGCTTGTTGACTACGAGCCTGGGTTTATTGCTACTTTTCGTAAAGTTTTTCAAGATTGTACCATGCGAGGGTGCTATTGTCATTTTCGAAAAGCTGTTTACGCGAAAATTCAGAAGTATGGGCTTTTGTCTGAGTATACTCGGGACGCCGAGTTTGCGAGGGATTTGAGGAAATTGAATGCGTTAGCGATTGTTCCCAAGGATCGTGTTGTGTCTGCTTTCGTCGAATTGCTCAAAACACCTTTTTTGTAACTCATGAAGAAGAATTGGAGAGTTTTCTTGCGTATTTCGAGTCCACATGCAAATTAAATCGTCGACAAGAGCGAAGTGATGGTCGTTTTGAAATTGCTCTATGGAATCATTATGAATCGATAAAGGCTGACACAGCGCGAACGATGAATGCTCTTGAGAGGTGGCATAATGCTTTTGCCGGGAGGGCACAAGTTTCGCATGGTTCGTTGTGGAAGTTCATTAAATTATTGAAAGATGAGCAGGGTATGATTGAGCTGAAGTTGTCTCAAGCAGCCAGTGGACTTGAGCCCCCCCAAATTAGAGAAAGTATCAAGATTATGATGAGAGGTTGAAAAAGATTATTGATAAGTATAATCCCAACAAAATTGATGATTTTTTGAAGAACATTGCTAATCTTATTCTACTTTAAATGCGTAATTTGATGATTCATTGATGATTGATTTAATTTTGGGGGTACGAGATTGATTAGCATTAAGTGTATTAGGGAACTTTGACTCTGTAAGACAAAAATAATTTATTATGATAATTGATTGTTTATTGGGACAAGAGATTGATTCGAATCTTTTTGGGGATTTATTTTTTAAATGTTGATTGATAAATGATAGTAATTAAGTGATTTATGATGGACTGTCAATGTTTATCGTATTGTACTGATTATGTAGGGATGAGAGTTTGTTTTGAAATTTGGAAAAAAATTGTTTTGAAAATGTTGAATTCTGATTTGGGTTTGATAGATTGAGACATCATAAATTGAATTGATATTGGGACCACGTGTATGGGTAACTTCATGCTCAGTGGTAAGGGGAAATCATTCCGGAGGAAATGATTCCGGGGGAATTTTTTTCCGGGAAATTTTTTCCGGGGAATTTTTTTTGGGGGAAAACAATCCGGGAACCTCCAAGATCTATCCCTGACCGAGACTTCTTGGACATCAACCGACTCAACCCCAAGCTGTGGTGGTTGGACGACCATGCCAAACACGTTAATGAGCTCAAAATGAGGCTTGACAAACACGTAGCAGACGCTGCTGGTGGCACCCAGCCTCACCAGTAGGAGAACTCTAGAGATAGCTAGAAGGATGGCTACTCCTGTTAGCCTAAGTTAAATTAGCTCTGTAATTATGTACATACTCTCTAGCCTAGTTTAGTCCATAAGTCTCCTCCCCCAAAAATTTTCAGTGGTTTTTCTTCTCCCAGTCAAAAAAAAATTTTTTACCACAAAAATTATGTCTCCAGGCAGCAAAGGTCAACTCAAACACTCAGTTACACCTACACACAAGCACCATTTACTCCATCAATTGCCTTTAGCAAAGTAACATTAGATTAGTGAGATGTCCATACCAGGACCACCTTTATCACAAATATTCTTCATTAATTAGCACGTAAGGTATTTTTACGGAGTCGATTTTATACCTTGTAAAAACATTTCTAATAACTGATATCTTTGACAGTAAACAAACTCTAAAAAAAAGTGGATAGGGTACAGAACTACTACGCGGAGGGTCCCGAGTTCAAGTCCCGCTCTGGGTGATTTTTTTTTCTTTTTTTCTCGACCTGCCGATTCTGAGACTACTATTGATTCATGTATTTATTATTACAGTTAGCAATTTATTAATTTGTAGCAAAGTCTATACCAGGTAAGGGCGAAACCAGACCGCCTGTCACGGCCCTTATCAGGTTTAGAAATCAGGTCCTGATCATGCTTTGCGTTATATTTCCTATCAGGCCCTGATGTGAAAACCGTAACAGGGCCGAATCTTTTCTAAGGCACAGCAGACCAGGGCCTGACCAGCCAAGTACTAAAATTTCCGGTAATGAGGCGAGGAGAAGAAATTCTGCTCACATCATTAGTTTTTCAGATAAAAAATTATCTACTTATCATCTTTTCTGTAAAGCAATAGTATATTACGTTACAAGTGTGAAAGAGGGGGAATGTGAATACGAGTGGGGTAATGTTTTTAGGGAGAGTCGTAGGACAAGCGCAGCCTCGCTCTAGACTCGACGAGACAAGTGCCCCCTCGGCTTGTCCCGTCTCGTCTATCGCTCGGCTGCGCGTGTCCTACGACTCTCCCTAAAAATATTAACATACGAGTTTAATGTTCCCCCTTTTTCACACGTGTAACGTTTACTATTTTTTGAAATAAGTGTTTGGAAAAGTCATCCTATTGTGGGATTGAAGTTTTGACTAACATGGAGGATGACGAGGGAATGTTTCCGAGAGGCGAACGACTAACACGTAATGGCTGCCGTATGGCTGATGTAATTCAGTCAAGACGAGTAGACCGATGTTTTCAGCGGCGCACATAGTTACAGGAATAACGACACTGGATTGGTCGAAAACGTACCGACTGGTGCCATCTTTCAAACGGTGACATAGAAGTGAACCCTAAACTTGTAACTGTAAAGTCAGCTGTTGTAAACGAAAAGTGAATCCCGTAAATGAAAAGTTCCTTTTCGTTTACAACTTTAAAAGTGACGAAAAGTGCCACTTTTCGCACAAAAATCTGTAAACGAAAAGGAATTTTTCCAAGCACGTGCTTCAAAGAATAGTATATTTCGTTACGAGTGCGGAAAAGTGTTTTTTCTCGCCTTCGGCTCGTGCTATAAACCTCCCACGAGCCAAAAAACACTTTTCCCACAAGTATCGAACAATATTTTTGCCATCACAATGTGTGGAAAAGAGACGTTTTAGGCACGCGAAGCGTGCCTAAAAAGTTACTTTTTCGCACAGCGTGATGAAAATATGTATATGATATCTATGAGTTCGTGAAGAATTTGAAAATCAATAGATTTGACACTTTTGTAATGATCATTTTTACAGCCTTTAAAGTGAAAACCGTAATTTTTCAACTTTGAAGTGAAATAAGTTATCTCTAAGTAAGGTGTCAATGTTTCACAATCATTCATTTCAATGTTACAAGCATTCAGATGCACGGAGTAGTACATTTCATGCCCGAGCCTTGGAAAACAGATCATCCTCCCCCACGTGCAAGATTGCCTTCCGAGTCGAAGGCGAAGATAGCAAGCACGTGGGGAAGGGTGATATGTTTTCATGGCGAGGCGTGAACATTATTTTTTGTGTCGTGGGGCCTGAAAAACGCAAATTTCGTGGCACGCAGCGCCACGAAAATGGGGTTGTTCAGGTCCCGTGACACGAAATAGTTATTTTCATCACAAGGTCCACATTCGTCAGAAAATACTTTTGGACCGTGGGATGAATGCAATTTTTCGTCAGAAGGCCCATAAACCGCGATCTAACCGAGCGAAGCGACCAGAAAAAAATTCCAGTGCCGGCACTAGAAATTTTATTGGGAAAAACGTGAATTTTTCCCTGTATTTCTGTGAAAATTTCATAGAAATCCCCAGAAATTTTACCAAAAATACCGATAAATTTACCTTAACAGCGCTAGAATTTTTTACAGCCGGTGGATTGTAATTTTTTCTAGTACTCATACTAGAATTTTTCTAGAAAATTTCTCTCTGTGTGAATGTGATAATATTTGAGAACGAGCATGAGAATTGTTTCTGGAGAGCTCATTTGTGGAACAAATGCGATCTATAATGAAGGAATCAATACAATTTTCGTTTCACTCTCGAATGCCGAGATATTACGATTGTTCCTCAGCACATTCCTGTTGATTCTAATTGTTTACAACAGTATTTATCATGTTGATTTCTACAATAAGTGCCGAATATTGATGAAATTATCATGCAAAAAACCGTCCTTAAATATTTTCAGAAGGGGTGGTCCACTTTGCCGTAGGGGGCTATTTTGGTTACCGGTCAAAATAACGCACGTAAATTACAACACACAGATTTAACACATGCATTTCCAACACTTGACAATTTAACATATACCAATTCAACACGTGTGTGTCGTGTCATTCAATCCCTCCGTGAAATGTCCAACATTTTTTCCTAGAGATATCCTCAGTTTTTTAATCGCCAAGCTCATGTTAGAGAGCAGGCAAACAATTTCATTATAAATATGCCTGTAAAAGCCTATGAGCTGAGGCTGCGACAAAAATGCAAACAGACAAGGTAAATACACATTGCATGAATAGTAAAGTTAAATAAAATTTTTCAAATTAATTAATTGTTTTTTAAGATTAATTCGAAGTGAGCTTCAAGAGATTTAATGAAAAAAATTTGATTCTGATGATTTTTAATGCCTGATTTTGATATGTAAATAGTTATAAGTGAAATTTTTCGTAATTGTTTATTGGGAAAATATCAAGATGATTCTTTTATATACAATAAGTGAAGCATTTATTAAGTAGACCCTTTCATATTCGATAAAGTATAAAGATTCGAAGTGATTTTATGTTTCATCTTTTTGCAACTGCTTTATTTTGATTCGAATAGTTTTTTCGTAATACTGTAAAGCTATCCTACTGTTAGTTGTATATTTTCTTGATTAAAAATTCAATATCAATAAAAATTGACATTAATAGTTTCAGTGCAGGGAGAAAAAGAAACAAGCTCTCAAACATGAATAATTAATCTGTTTTCGACAATAACGAAATATTTGGCTCAAGAGGCAGATGATTTACAGGAGACGGTGTCTTTTCAGGACGAAAATATCGTATACCCACATGGAAAAATATATTCATGTCATTAGGCCCGATAAAGCGCGATTCTAACCTCGCTTTGCTCGGTTAGATCGCGGTTTTCGGGCCCAATGACATAAAATATCGTATGTCACATGGCGATAAAAGTATTATCTGGCGAATGTGATTATAATCCTCCCTTTCGGCTCGGATTATAAAGCCACATTCGTCAGATAATACTCTTATCGCTTGATGACATAATCTACTAATACTAAAATATATGTCACTTATATCCGCTTACATGTGGTATACTTTCAGGCAAAAAATGCAATATCTGAGATATATGTTGGATTGTTGGATCTGTGTGTACATGTACCCCACCGGATATATCTAGCATATACCTGGTATACAAGGCGGATATATTCAAGATATAATTCCGGCAAAATCACTA